CACTGCTAAATTAGGGACGGCTAGTGCAGATAGCCCTCGTGTAGCTTTGCGCAAAATTCAAAACAAACAAACTGTATTCTGCCAACTATGGCTAACGAAACCTAATTTTTAGCATTTACTATAAGCCCTCAGACTTATTGGTGGTCCAAAAGTTAACTATACGAAGAAACATCTTCCCTAACCTAGACTGAAATACTACTAGTATTATCTTCTTAATACATGTTATGATAACATTCTATAAAACAAATCTACTTTTTTACTTACAGTCAATCTCGCGAGAAGTAAAACTAAAAGGTTAACTTTGACGTTATTAGTTTGAATAGAAAATCGTATGTGATAGACTTGCTTGAAAACATGAAATGATATTTTTTCTTTTGTATAAAATTATATTTTTATAAATTTTACAAAAGTTTGATTTTAAATCTTGCTTCATTTATGTGAAGTTAAAACGAAGTGCAGGCGGGAAAAATACTTTCTCAACTACTACATTTAAGTAATAGATATTGAAAATTTAAGTTGGTGTAAAAACTCCATCTAGAAGTAAAAGTTATTAAGTTCTAACTGAGAAGTGCAGACCCAAATTGATTTCATAGTAAAATAAAAAACAGATAGTAGAAATAAGAACTGGCTAATTTAATCGTGTTTACCAGAGATAATGTTTTAAATTATGGTGATATTTTTCGCAGTTTCGGGTTTTTTATTTGTTCCTGGCCTTCATCAGATAATTATTTAGGTTGTGCTATGTATTGATACATCATTGTTTGGTTCAGTTATGAACGTTTCGCTTGTCCTTAAGAGAGATATGTTTGGAATAAAACTAACGATTCCACATGAGTTTAAATACTAGACTGAATTTGGATGTAACATGAAATACAACTTATACTGTTCGATAGTGAGTACAGAACGTTAATAGTGTACTTGCGAGAATGATTATTTATTTATTTCGAAAAACTACATCAAGACTAAGACTCTGGGCTTTAGAAACCAACTCTATATTTTCTTCTTCTTTTTTTAAGTTATCAGAGCTGGGGATAAAGCCCTCATATTTCGCTGAAAACCTTCCATAACTATAATAGGCAGTCTTCCAATTCGGTTAAAAATATCCACATATGTGACGCGTGCTCCTGAATAGTTTTCTTATCATTGGTCAACAGTTCTACATTAAGGATGACTACTCATGAACTGTAAGGGCCTAACCGTTTAGCTCATGTGTCAAATAAGTCACCTTTCAGGTTGTAAATTCTAAATATCTGTATCAACGGCTTTAACGCAACGCCCATTCCAGAATGAAATGATAAACGCTATAAAAATATATTGTACTCTAAGTTATTTCCTTTATCTTTTAATTTCCACCTTTGTTTTTGCTAAAGAATAATAAGATTATAACTTGGTTGGAATGTGAAAATAGAACCACCTAGGCACAATATGCCTATTAACAGTAAGGATTTTGAAACATTTAATTATTATGATGCTCAAAGTACTTATCATTGTAACACCTAAAATAATTTAAAGCCTTTCAATCATTGTAACACCTAAAATAATCTAAGGCCTTTCAATCATTGTAACACCTAAAATTATCTAAGGCCTTTCAAGCATGTACATTTAAAAATTTTGTGACAAAATATGTTAATTTATGTCTGTTTAAATTCAGTTTTTGCTGTATTTTATAGTTGACTTGTGCAGTTCACTGGTGGTTGATTGCCTACATTCTTATCTCGGAAAGTATAAAAGAGAAAATATGCTACACGTATTAAAATCCTCCATTATAAGAAGTTTTCTCTTTCAAACTACACATAACATTAGTATTGTAAAAAACAAAAGACCATTTGGTGCCAGAAATTAGAAACTGTACAAAACTAAACTAACAATCATGAATACTTTTAGTGTAAATATTGATAGTGTTTTAAAGTTTAAGTCGATGGTGTGAAACTCATCGTTAAAGAGGAGTCGTTCATGAGCTTAAAATAAATCATTTGGTAAAAAAAGCGTCTAACTCAAAGCTAGAATTACTTGAGCACCAGTTTCAGAAGTAAATAATGTAAGCACTTGAAGTAAGCATGTTCAGTATTATAACAGATATCCAGCAGCTCGAGTTTTACAACTAACGGGAAACATTTTTCAATATTCATTAAATTACTGTTCTTTGACATTAATCAGGATGAACATAATTTTAATATTGATTTCGACCGGTCACTAAGTCTTCTCCAAAAATCTCTAAATCAAGTCACAATACTAAAAACTTGTTAAAAAATTTAAAGGTCAGCTAGATCTGCTCTTCTTGCGCGGTTTATTTATTTTGAAGTGATATTTTTTAACATTTTTCATGAAATGTACACCTCGCAGTGGCTCAGCAGTAAGTCTTATGACTTATTAACGCTAAAGATAGAGTTTTGTTACCAATGGTGGGCACAGCACAGATAGCCCATTGTGTATCTTTGTGTTCAACAACAAACAAACACGAAATGTACACTAAAACAATTAAAGTTTAAACATGGAGGTCCGCCTCATTGCATTGAAACACACTACTCCATATTGCCAGTGTGTCTAAAGTAATATCATTTGCTTTTAAAGTAAAAATTTTCATTGATAAAAATTTAGCATTTACAAGTTCGTGACGATTTGTTTTTCGTTTGGTTTCGTTCTTCATTAAAGAACCATATATTTGTGTCGTATACACTCTTGAACAACTGCTATCTCGCATTTCCACTGAGCACTTATTCCAGTTCTCCAGAAGAAATCATATATCAGCAGATTCTCTTCTTTCACTAACGTAAGCATCGTAATATAAATATATATTGTAAAAACAAAATAATGAAAATGAATTTATACATATATATATTCATCTATATTACGAAGTTTACGTTAGTGAAAGAAGAGAGTTTCCTGATTGAATAATATGTATATATAAATAGCTCTAATATTATTAGTAGCATCAATTGTTAATAGGCGATTAAATTCAGCACCATAAAACAACAATGGACTTAATAACTCAGGTGCATAAATCTATGCTGTAAAATGTTTGAACCTTAAAATTTTTCTGGTTTGATATTATATTGTTTATCTGTAGCATCTTTTAGAGCTAAAAAAAAATCACTGTATTTGAATATATTAATCAATGGTTTTTAGATATTATAATAGACTCTTTTATTATTGTTGTTGTTAAATCATTTTTCAAAACAAACAATGATGGTGTTATTCTTCTATTTTCAGGCTTATCTATTGAACATTCCAAGCTGGAACTGGAGGCGTGGCGACGATGTCATCTGTGTTTCAGAACTAAAATTAGGGTTTATTGCTCAGAGTTGTTTAGCACCAGGATTCTCCACCATGATGTCTAACCTATTTGCTATGCGATCTTATAAGACGGTAAGGTCCTCGCTTAGAATTTTATTCCTGCTTAATGAGGTCACGGAAACCTTAAGAATTTAATGTCAATAATATTTTAAAATTGCATTATAAAATGACAATTTGTTCTTATACTGAAGATTTAGTTTAATAAAATTTAGCCTATACAATATGTCATTTTTTTTTACAAGATTCCTCTTCTAGAGCGGACGTGGTAGTCGTGGCATGGCCTAGTAGCTATGTAGCTTGACTCGCAATATGCGGGTGGCGAGATCGAAACCTGTGGCCATTTTTGTTTGATAGTTTTTGGTACTGATGACTTACTCTGTAAAATTATTCAGCAACTGGTGATAAATCACTTGACGGAGTTATACTTTTTATCATGTGTACGACTTACTGCGAGTTGTATTTAAGTAGTTTTAAACATTTTACTTAACACTTTTTAAGTAGATGTTACTATTACTGGTTTCCAGTAAAACATAAGCAACTAAGACTAGCTTGTGACTGGTTTAGTCCCCAGACACAGCATCATGGCAAAACGACTACATGTGTGGAACTGGTATGGAGATGTACACAGAAAACCTGTCGGCTTCCTTCACAGGCATGACGTTTACACAAGCCGCAGAGTAAGTTTACTGTAATGTGCATTATAAACTGATTCAAATTACTTTAAGTTAACGTGTTGTTTTAAAAAAAAATTGTTTTTCAATTTCTTTCAAATTATTTGTTCTATGTAATAGTTAACTTATATTTACTTGTAGATGTCTCAGCACGTCAGCGAGGTTGCTTATAAGAACATTGATCATCAGAAAAAAACAGCTTTTGCGTAAACCAAATATTGGATTTTTGGAAAAACGGGATTAATATGGTTCACTAAGGAACCCTTCTCTTCTATAGAATGTCAGGCTAAATTAAAGTGTACATCTACTGAGCGAAAAAATATTAAGTTTTAAAAACATATTTCCACATTAATCCAAGCTGTTAGAAGTTCTGGGCTACTGTTTTAGTTAGCAAACATAGAAGTACTTGAAGATACATTTTAAGACAGATTCGATCCAAGTTACTTTCATACTTCATGTAACGAACAATAATGTATCATCTCACTGCCTGGAGGTTTCTTGAGGATCAAATAAAAACGCTTAACCTTTTTTTTAAATAATATGTTTGATATTTTTTGCAAGACAAAGATATGTACATAATTAATTGTTAGGCTTTACCTAAGTAAATGTTATGCGCTATTAAGTGCTTTCTACTTGAAAGGGGAAAACGTTTAAAAAACACAAATATCTGCACTTTAAAGAATGTGCCGAAAAAAACAAACAAATATTGTGAATAATAAGTTACCAAGACCTCACTAGTTACTTATGTTTGTTTAATACTTATTATTGTCTCATAACTTTACTGTAACTCACGTGTCCATGTAAACTCGCCGAATTAGACATTTCACTGCTCTGTTGATGTTGGTTTTTCAGCAGTATTTTAAAGTATACTCAATATTTAAGCATTGGTAAAGCAATGTATTTGTTTCAATTATCTTACATGCAGATTTATTTAGCTACTCCACGCGTGAAATACATTAAAATCTCAATTAGACACTTTTATAGTTAGAACCATTTTCTTCAGTTACGTTATTTTGTCAGTAATGTATCTATTTCATTACTTCAGGCTTTGCTTCGTGAAATTAAAGCTCCTCTTACTTGCAATAGAGGTCGCTAGTGAGGACGGATCCGATTGCAAGATTACTATTAATCCTAAAAAGAAAGTAAAAATTCAACATAGCACTCAAGGTTTTTTTATAGCACAGTCTGCAGATGAAGTGAAACGGTAAGTCAAAGTTTTTCTAGTTTTATCTTATCTGACGAGTATCCTGTTTTGATAAGCGTTTTATCTTACCTGCTAATTAACCTGTTCCAATAAGAGTTTTATCTGCTGACTGTCCTGTTCTGATAAGCATTTTATCACATCTACTGATTGATATATATGCTTAGCTTCAATAAGCTCTCTGTAGTTTATCCAAACTTATTGGCTTGGCATTTATTCACTAACTGATTATCAAAACTATTTTCTTATGGCATCATTATTAGTAAGAAGTATATTGTGTTATTTATTTGAAATAACCTCTAGAAATAACATGACGCATAATAACATTCGAAAACAAAACTTATGAAAAGTCTTGAATCAAATTTTAGATATTATCAAAAAGGAAACTTATAGCCATTGGTTCTAAATAAAGTGTATGTTTTTAAACAGATATTGTGTGTATTTACAAGTTAAAGTTTGGTTACTTATTAATGTTATAATGATGCAATAAAGTTACGAATCGCAAAGTAAAATCAGTGGTCGCTTTCAATTATTTAATTCTATTTGTCTACGTATAAATAAAACTGTTGGCCGTAGAAGAATAGACTGCTGAAACAGTAAAGAATTTTAAACTTACAACAATACGTTCTGCCTTCTTTATTTGATTTTCACCTCTAGCCTCAAGGAATCTTCAAACAATATAAAATAAACATTACGATCTCAAAAATTATGGTCACATTTATGTGTTTAGAAAACACTTCCACAGTTTAAATAAAATAGGGGGTTCTCTCACTGTGTATATCCCCCTCGATTAAACACTTTTCTGTTTATATATATGTGTATGTGTGTGTGCAGACATCAATTAAAACCACAATTTCGCTTAACTAAATGTATTTTATTTGTAAGCAAATATGTTTCGAAAAAGAAAAGGTATACGAATAATAATGTATTATAATTCTCAGTTTCGATTTTGTTTTTATTCACAGTCATCTGGAGTCCTTCACGCAATTAAAAATCCTTATTTCGTAAATCGCTATAGTAAAGCTGCTGTTAATAATCAATATTTATATCTTCTTGCGTAAAAGTAATCTCTTTTGTTTCCAAAAGATTTTTTTGATGTGAGTTTTCACACTTCATCTTTGAGTTCACTTGCAGGGCGTGGTATTATTGTAAAAACTGCCATGATGACGTCAAAGACGAAAAACTTATCAAAAAGTGCAAGTGTAAAAGCTGTAAGTACTGAAAGCAGTCCATGGTCAGTTTATTATTTATACAATATTGAAGCCTTTGTTCTCCATTATAATGTTTTGCTCGTACTTAATACTTACTTTGTTAGTTTCAATACGTTTATAAAAGTTATGTGACGTGAAAGGATATTTCTTTTATAAGGTTGACAAAAAATAATGAAACCTAAAGGTTTGGTTTCTTATTTATTGTTTATTAATTCCAACGTAAAACGTTAAAATACGTTTAAATTACACTAAATATAGTGTTTATTCTTTGTATAAATCTCATCGTTTCGACTTCTTTTTAATTTGTTTGTACCACCAAGTTTCATTGAATGATTTATATATAAATAACTTTTCATTTTACCGAAAACACTTGTTATAGGGAATATGGAGCGTTACTTTAAATATATTTTGACAATTATTTTCACATACAATGACTTTTTACCCCCCCCCCAAAAAAAAACAAAACAAATTCAATTAAAAATTTTCATCTTGTTTTAAAAAAAAATTACCCTTTCAGGTTTCTTCCAATGCCTTACTAGATTTTGATTATGAAGTCCCTGTTACCTTGAAACATGTCGATTACCTTGTGCTCGCTACCCCTCCCACTTAGGCTTAGCTGTTTTTGGTTCGTTTTTACCTGAAATGCCTGCTGCTCTACTGCCTGCTTTCGAATAAGCCTAAAAGTAGTGAACGTGTGTAGTTTGGATTGATAATTAGTGAATGCTCGCATAATTCTGTTTGCCTGATCCTCCAGATCTTTTAGGTAGAATTGTTGCATGGTTGTAGCAGTGTGTCAATGTCATCTGAAGCGCATGTGTCAGTTATTCTTAAGTGAGACGCTTTGTCAGATTTAGTGGAATTGCGTTCACTTACGTTATTTACTATTGAACTAAGTAATTAAATAATGTATAACACTAAAATGTGAATTTCAAACTACAATTTTATTACAAATGTATGGACATACATTCATAAACTAGCAGTTTAATAAAAGTTTGAATGTAAGTCTACAAAATGTGATGACGTGCGCTCTGGGTTGTGAATTTCAAACTACAATTTTATTACAAATTTATGGACATACATTCATAAACTAGCAGTTTAATAAAAGTTTGAATGTAAGTCTACAAAATGTGATGACGTGCGCTCTGACCCCGACCAGTATGGTAAGGGTTAAGTATCATATCTACCATAAGTTACCTGAAAAAATCGCAAAAATCTTAATAGAAACAAGAATTAAGTAAATAATTGCTGTGTAAAATGCTATTAATAACTAGCTAAACATCAGAACATATCTGGAATAGTTCTGGAACAGTTCACCGATCCCGCAAAACAACCAAGGTATTTTATTTGGCTGTTTATTTTTTATCTGGAAATTAACAAAACTAACAATATATAAAATTATTGTTGATGAAAGTTGAAATTATTGTTTCCTAAATCAGTTAAATTATATGGTGTGAGTGTGAACTAGAACTTCATTCAGAAATATTTAGAAAACATCATCTACAGAGTTAGCAGATTATAGATTTATTTCAATTATAAATTATATAACTTTTGTTGATAATTGAAACTTTCTTACATATTTTGTTTTTATTCTTAGCTCATTCGTCATACAATTTTGGTGCAAATGCTAGCCACATAAGTATTTTATATATTTTTAAGTAGCGAAAATAGACTCAAATTATTAAGGTTAAGCAAGAGACAACCAAGGAATTCGTATTTTATTTCATAAGTTGAGAAAATAATAATAAACTAAGATATCATTATACTTGAAAGCATGATTTAAAGCATTAGGTTTTGGTTATAAAATTTTCATTGTGATATTTTAATGCAATACTAGGTTTTATAAGTATAATTTTGCTAATGTTAAAAATATACTTTTCCCTAATACTTTGTAAAATAATGTGAAAATATAATATAAATCTAACAATTGGTTATATTTATTGATACAGATGGCATTACTGTTACAATCAAAATGAAAATCATAAACTGATGTGATTTTAGTTTTTGTTGTTGTTTTTCGTTTATTTACCAGAAAACGATTTTTTTTTATTAATAATTTTAATTTAAAAGTGTGTTATGATAAGCACTCGAAACATTTTTGTATGAATTCACCATTAACAAGTAATATTTCCTGCAAAGTAGGCCTAACATGCGTAAAGCCTACCTCTTGTCTCCCTAATGCTGTTTTTGTTATATCATAAAGCTATTTTCAGGGTAAAGTCGATATGGAACGTTTTGAAACAAAGGCTTATTTGCATGGAAACGAATGGTCCTTTTTATAGTTTTAAGTATTCAATGTAAACGTTTGGTTTTTAACATTGTAAGGCTGTACTTTGGTTAAACTTTATACTTAGTTTTAAAATCGCTGTTTTTATGCCTTATTTTTATAAATTGGTCATGAATTTGTTATTAGTTCACGCGCAAGAAACTGTTTCTTGTAAACATAATCACATAAGTACGAACGTATTATAACTTTAAAACCTAAAGACATTTGGAACTACAGCATAAAATACTTAAAACGCATGCTATATATATTTTAATTCAATATTTCGAGAACCGACCATTTGTAATTCTTAGGGCACATAAATAGCTTATTTAGGTTGTGTCACACGAGAGTTACATCAGTCTGTGACATCAAAGCTAAATAACGTTTAGAACTGTAATATATGGAATAATAAAATGAATATAAATTTTTCTTCTCGCCACAGTAAAATATTTTTATATTATCGGACAGGCTGCTAAGATAACTTTTCTTATAATAAAAAAAAATGCGTAACCTTCCAGTTAGTTTTATCATAGTTACGATTTGATAGATTCGAGTTGGAAGCATAATCTATCAGGAGGACTTTTTTGTTTTAAACATGCCAAGTTTGAAATATCATAAAATGATGAACATTGTGAACAATTTCACAGTTATCCATTGTTACGTATTACAATTTTTAATGGTCTGAAACCGACCTAAATGATAATTTAAATTTAGTTGTTAAATTGTACTTTGGATTTGGCAGTTAAATAAATGCCGATATATAGTCGGTTTACGATATTTGTCAACAAGATTGATACACATAGTTTTCTTTTTAATACAAATATGTTTTAATATACAAACATCAATACAATTTACAATAACAGTTATTACAAATAGTTATTACGAACAACGATTTATATACAAAAATTTCACAAACTTACAAGCAATATAAAGTCTTCTTTCTAGTCTTGAACTCCCTTAATATCTTATCGAGGGTTGACGATGAGCGAGTTAATTTCGAGTTGACGTAGGTATAGTTCACTTAACAGG